ACACTCTGTTTGCTGCTATGCCCTTTTACAACTAAGAGGGGACAACCGAGAATAAAAGCCAGCGTGCTGAGGACAGCAGAATAGAAGGATGGAAAGTCTTGGTCCCTGACGACCTGGCTGTGATGCTGAAGTAACCCAGGGTCTGTTTATCTCTGGACTTCAGTACCCTTCCAGTTAAAGCCGCTGATTGTCAAGTTCTGCGACTTTTAGACAGAATCGACCAAACTGAAACAGAGACAGGACTTGGTGACCTGACTAGGAAGGGTTTGCAATAAAGAGGAATTTAATTTTACTCCCAGGGTTCTTGGGGAACTGAGTAAAAGATAAAATTACAACACAAGAGGTACTGAGGAGTGGAGGTGTTGGATAAAGGGGACAGGTCTGAGATGGGGAAAGGATGGAGGGGGAAAAGCTTGTTCTTGGACATGCTGCTTTAGTGATATTATGGAATCATTTAGATGAAGAGCATATTTAGGAGTCTGGAACACATCCAAAAAGTGTGACTTAGATCTGCTGATGTATAGAAAGCCTGATCCTATCTCACGAGGCATGACCTCACTCTCTTGGATGAGTCTCATGGAAATAGGAGCGTCAAAAGAATGCAGTCCAGACCAAAACTGCCTTAATTTGAGGAGTCCTAGAAAGTGTTTCTTTTCTATTAAGACTCTGAAGAGGTACAGATATTATTTTAAAATAGGAAGATTGTTTACAGAATAAACCTAGAAATTAATAACACTACTGCATATTTTTATTTTATAAAAATCCATTAGCAGCCAGGATCATCTGAAAAGCACATAATCTGGATCTGTGACAAATGAAGACCTTGTGCTAATGTGACCACACTAGAGACTGTCCCAGTAACTGCAACTAATATGAATCACCTGCTTTACAATGTACACCAGTAAAAATTAGGAGTATGTGAATAACCTCATTCCCAAGACCTGGAAAATAACTCCAGGACATGTTTTATTGGTGGTAGATTATCCCAAAGTACAAAGTGAAACATAACCACTGAGAAGGTGGCAAGCAATAATTTAGCAGTGCTGGGTAAGATTAGGTAACCTTATGAGGATTACACTACTCCTCCATGAGAAGGAATTAATACAGGTGACCCTGACACAATTATTTTGTACAGAGTTACAGAAGAAAACTGATTAGCATCTCCCAATGTAGCGAAGAGGAAAAATACAGTCAGAGCTGGAGCAGGTGATAGTTTCACAGACAAGAGGCACAAGGACATATGGCAAAAGGTCCCTATAAACAGTGACTGCAAGAGCAAACCAAAGGCTGATTTTCATGTTTACAAAGGCTGGACCAGACAGCTGATGTACTAGGCCTGTACAGACCACAGCAATCCTCATCAAAGGCATCTACAACAAACAGCAAGTACTACCAAAGATAAAAGGAATGTGCCTTTGACATCAAGCGAAAATGTTTCAAAACGCAATACTGACTTGGGAAAAGTGAATATAATTCTAAAACATAACTTTGATCATACTGCTCTCAACCATAAAAACTTTTAAGTGGGCCCCTTGGCTCATAGACCCCCTTAACCCTTCATTCTAGCCCCAGACTAATAAAAGTTCTAATCAAACTTTCCGTTTTGTCTCCTTTCATGCATCTGACACTTTAGTTATACTGCACCAGCTGGTATCACCCAAGTCCATCCTGCGTTTTCCTCCTCCTGCCATTCTTCTCATGCTGACGGTTCTCTGCCTGCAAAGAGCCTACTGATCCTTCAAGTTTTGCCCCTTGTTATCGTTCCATGTTCCCCGATCCTACATGTAGCCCTCCTCCTTTCCATCATGTTCTGCTCTTATCAAAGTCATGCTATTCTGTTTTGAATTGTTACTACTGTGTACCTCCCCTATGAGATCCTAAATTCCTTAAAGAATTCACTTTTGTGACTTCTACAGGGGACTAATAAATAATTGTAGATCGCTGTGTTAGTGACATAAAAAATCACAGACAGAAGCCCTCAAAAGAACATACAAGGACAAGTTTACTAGAAGTCTAATAATTCCGATAAATATTCATATGCTCCTTCTCCTCTTGTTTATAGGAAAAAGCAATATATAAGAAATAAACATAGGAATTATTCAGTAGACAAGATAATGAATCACTGTGGTCTAGAAATTCCAGACCCTATTTTTAGTTATCTGGGCAAGTTTAATTTGCCTTTTTCTCTACTTGCTTCCTCTGCAAGTACCTACTTTACAGAAGTGATGTGAGGAACAAGATCTTTGTTAATTAGTTAATATGTTTAACATTGTTCAGAACACTCCTCCCTTTAAAATATACTGGTTTAACTATATCTAGCTTTTTCCACATTTACCACAATTAGCAATGTTTTCTGTGATTCACAAAATACCTAAAGTATAAAGAAGCCCATTATATGCCAAAGAACGTACTTTTAGTTTTACTAAAAAAGCAAAACTACTCTCTTCCTCTACTTTCACAGATTCTTTTTAGGCTATGAAACTGTGGCCCTCTGCCCATTGCATAATCCTAATTTACAGAGGGGTTCAATAATCTAGAAGAGGCATGCTGTGTTCTCAAGAACAGAATATATCCTAAGGGATGGTGTGTAATAGTCTAAAATAAATAAGAAACCAAATTCAGATCACTAGGAGGTGGGGGGAGTGGGCAAAGAAACAGTAAATGGCAATGAAAAGTCTTGAAAAATAAAGGTACATACTGACCATGAAAAGTTTAAATCTGGAGAATTATTTCTTAACCAGTGACACAGGCCAAAGAGCTTACAAAGTGCCCTGCTTTCCTAGGACCTCTAGTTCTGATTATTCTTTTCTGTAACTTTCTATCATGTTTCACTTTTCTCAGAATGTTAACTCTTCACCTCCAAGCTCTGATGTGAACTCCCCTGAGAACTCACCTCAAGTCCTAGGCAATCTCTCCACCCTCGTATAATTCCCTGGTGCCGGTAAAGGAACTCTTTTCTCCCCAAAATGCTACACTGTAAATTTAGAAACTATCAACAACGCAAGAAAAAAGTTTAGATCTGTGAATGAGAACCGAGACTCCAGACCTCTAGTATTTCTGCATCTTTAAGACAACAAAAATGATGAGGACTTTTCACTTGCCAATCCACAAAAAGAAATTTTAAGAAAAATTTAAAAATTACAAACCAAAAACTAATCACCAAAAGTAAACAGAGGCAAATATTTGTTTAACTGTAATGATAATTCTCTACCGGGTATTTCAATTGCAATTATAAGGCAAACCAATCCTTGGACGTGATTCTGTGCGCGTCCAGCACTCCAAAGTTAGATGACATAATAAACAAGTTCTTCCCTTCCCTCTCCTGTGGTCACGTCAGATACCTGTTGCATCACCTGGAAAGGGGCCTTCCGAATCTAGGCAAGGAGCATTGATCTCTAAATGATTCGGTTGGGCTGTTTTCTTGATAAATTTTAGCCTCATTTATTTTAACGAGGTCGCCTAAGAGGCAAGGGTGTGGTGGCTCCTGTTCACCTGTGCAGAGATTCTAGCACACAGGCATGGACAGCTGCGACTTTCTGGACTCCCAGGGGCTTGAGAGTTTTGAAGACTTGGGCTTGAAGAGAGATGTATGGTTCGGCAGAAACAGAGAAGCGGGGGGAGTAGGAGGCAGATGAGACGGGGTAAGCGGGGCAGCCCTGGAGTCCCGGTGGCAGGAGCGGGAAGTCAGACCTGCGATGGAAGCTTGGCGGAGAGAAAGCTCGTCCGCCAAGGTGTCGGGCCCAGGGCCAGGGTCCGGGTCCGGGCCAAGCTGGGGGCGCACGAGAGATTCAAGCCGATCCGACCCCTGGCCAAAGCCCTCGGGCAGACTGGGCAGCACCGAGACGCGCGAGGATTAGAAAATAATACTCCCCTCCCCCTCCCCCCGGAGAACTCGGCGGGAGGCGGAGACGCGAGGCAGGAAGCGCATGGGCCGGGGTCCGAGCCCGGCCGGCGACAGGACCTGGGCCGGGGCCCGGGGCCGCCAGGGGCCGCACTCACCATGTCGTACACGTTGAGCACCACTAACTGGTTGGCCCCCATCCTCCTCCCCGCGGCCGCCGCCTCGTCCTCCAGCCGCTCCGTCTCCGAGGGGCCGAGGCCGCTCCCACCCCCGCGGACGCTTCAGGGGGCCAGAGCCGGGCACTAAGCGCACAGTCCGGCCCGCGGCAGCCGGCGCGGGAGCATCGGGAACCCGCACCGCTCCCGGGCGCCGCCAAGACCCTCAGCACCGACCGGGCCCAACCGTTGGCTGGCCAGTTGGCTGGCCCGCTCCGGCTCAGGCGCCTCCCCTGGGCGGCAGACACGTGGGGAAAGGCGGGGCGTGAGCGGGGGGCGGGCTCCGGGGGCCCCGGGGGCGGAGCCAGCCCGGCGCCGGGGGCCGAGCCCGCCTGCGCTCTGGCTCTCCGCGGCCGCACCTCGCTCGGGACCCAAAATGGCGCGGCCTCCGGCCTGTGCGCCCGGCGGGAGCGGGGCCCGGAGGGACTACAGCTCCCGGCATGCACTGGGCCCTGCCCCGGCCGCCGCCTGGAGCGCAGAGGCGGAGTCTCAACTACTCCGGCCTCCGGCGCGGCGCGCTGCCCGGCCCCCGACTACAGCTCCCAGCATGGCGTGCGGGCCCCGGTCCTTGCAGCCCGGGGCTTCCCGGGAGACTACAGTTCTCAGCGTGCGGTGCTCGGGGACTGCGCCAGGTCCTTCGCGGTCAGCCCTTGGCTGGCGGTGAGGTTTTTCTATCTTCGTCCCCCTCTTCGCTGATGTTGCTGCTGTTTCTGTCGCGTTGAGCTCGATGAAGCCAACGAAATGTGGCAAAAGACCATACTAATGACCCGGTTTTCCAAATCCCACCTCACTTTTTTTGTGTGTGCAAGGAATGGGAGTGGGGAAATAGAGGAAGGCGGGTTACTGGTGGGGGACGGGTGTACCTTGCATCCAGTTAATCCTCAATAAGGAATTTTACATTTAATGAAACTATCCCGCTGAGGCGGGACGAGAATACAGGACGCAGTCGGTGCTTTTGCATGCATTCAATAAAGTGTATGTCTGCCGTGTGCCAGGCAATGTTGTAGGCCCTGGGGAACACGGTAATAAACGGGAGGGGGGACAAACGAAATATCAATGATCTGTGGCTTTGCAGAGAATTAAAAGAGGGTGAACTGACAGTAATCTTAGAGTGGCTGCGGTGTGAGGGTCTCTTGACAAGGCGAGGTTTAAGCTGAGCTCTGAATGACAAAGCCAGCCCTGCAAATATCAAGGGGCAAGTATCCTATTAAAAAGGAACCTCAAAGCTAATGGATTAAACCAATTAGGAAGCTATTGCACAGATGCTAAGCTTTGGACTAGTTTGGAAGTAGAGTCTACAGGACTTGTTAATGGGTTGGGTGTTGAGTTTGTTAGGGAGAGAACATTCAAAGATAACTTACGATTTTCGACTTGGGAAATTGTAGGGGTGGGGGTGCCATTTATAAGACGTGAAAATTGGGAAGAACAGGTTGGAAGGAGGGAAGTCAAGCGTTATGGTTTGATCACGTTAAGTTGGAGATGCCTTTTAGCTATCCGTGATGTCAAGTAGGCATTTAGATAACTGGAATCATGGCCATTATAGATTCTAAAGCCTTGGGACTGATTGGATGACCTAGGAAAAGACGTAGGTGAGAAGAGAGAAAGAGGCTAAAGATAAAGCTCTAGGACCCTCTTTTAAAGATCAAGTGGAGGAGGGAGAACCCCGCCAGGAGAAAGTGGTGACACAGAAGCCACAAGACTTTTAGATTCAGCAATGGAGATTGCCGGTGGCTTTGACATGAGCAGTGTCAGGGCAGGAGTGGCATCCAAAGAATGTCTGGAATGGTCGGAGGAGTGAATGTAAGGTGAAGAAGGGGAGGCTGTAGGCAGCTTGGGGGTAATAATGGGAAAGGGCCGCATGGTCAATGGAAGGCATTTTAAATATGAGAACACTAAGGGATACTTGTATAAAGAGAGAACAATTGGTGTTGTAGGAGAGAGGGTGAGATTTCCAAGGGCAGGTAAGTGTAAGGTATCCAGTGCACAGGTGGTGGGTTGGCCTTTGACAGGAGGGTTGCTTCCCATGGTGACAGCATGTAAGGTAAAATAAAGGTGCATAGTGATGGCATAAAAGATATAGAGACAAATGAAGGCAGGTTAGAAATTTTGGGGTGGGGGAAATGGGAGTGTTCTAATTTGCTTTGATTTTCTCAATGACTGAGAGACTAAATGATCATGGGAGGGTCAGAGGCGGGAATCTGGAGAGAGAGAAGGTGTAAAATAGGGGACACTAGGGAAATGGACTTGAACTGCCTGGCACTGTTGAGTGACAGTAAGTGTTCCCCAGACAGGTTGTAGACAAAGTTCTAAGCTTCATCTTTGGTGTACCCACGGCTTTGCTTCCTTTCCCCACTGTGGCCCTCCTTTCTGCCCATCCCAGCTGCACAAACTACAGTTGTGGGGAAGGGCACTCTCCGTTAACGCCTCACTTAGTCCTAGCTGCGCGACTTGACTCAAACTACTGCATCACGTCACCTCTTACTCTACCCACTGCCTTTGTCCTTTGTGATCTTGTCTAGTTACTCAGCTGTAACTACCAATGTACGTTGAAAAGTCTGATGCCCCGATCTCCAGCCCCCTTCTCCCCTGAGCACTAGGCCAGTATAACCTGCAGCCTGTTGGACTTTTCTACCAGATATATTAGTTACCTATTGCCGCTGTAACAAATGACCACAAATACGGTGGCTTAAAGCCACACAACACAAATTATTGTACAGTTCTGGAAATCAGAAGTCCAAAATGAGTCTCCCTGGGCTAAAATCGAGGACTGTGTTCTTCCGGAGGTTCTAATCTAGAATCTGCTTCTTTGTCTTCTTAGCTTCCAGAGGCTGCTCTCATTCCTTGGCTCCTGGACACATCGCCCAGACCTGTTTCCACCTCCATCTCTTCTTTGACTCTCCTGCCTCCCCTTTCACTTATAAGGACCCTTGTGATTGCACTGGGCCCACCAGGATAATCTAGGATAACGTCAGCTCAAGATCCTTAACTAATCACATCTGTAAAGTCTTTTTTTCCCATGTAAGCTAATATATTTGCAAGTTCTGGGGAACTGGATATGGACATGTGTGGGGAAGTATTGTTCTGCCCACCACACAGAATATCCCATGGTCAACTCAAATTCATCAGGTACAAAACGGAATTCACTGTCTGATGATGCAATGAGTTGCATTGCTCACATAATTTAGGTATTGATCCACCAATAACTGAAATTACTCCTCATTCGTTCATTCATTGAACAAGTATTAAATGAGTAACTTTTATGTATCAGCTTCTCTGTGTCACTAGTACATCATAATAGAACAGACATGACTCCTGGCCTCATGAAGCCTACACACCAGTGGAAAACAGAAAAAGATAATTATATATTTATTCTTTAATTTCTAATTTAAATGGAAGGAGACAAACAGGTGTAGAGCGTAATAGGGAGACAACTTTAGATTGGTTGTCAGAAGACAGAAACCATATTAATAGAATTAACAAAGAAAATTTAATATAAGGAATTATCACTTGCGTATTGGAGATCTAAAAAGACAAAAACAGGCATCAGAGAGGGAGTAAACGCCAGAAGCTTGGGATTTAAACATTTTTAAAGTTTGGAGGAGAGCGCTGTGGAGCTGGAATCTCAAACTTCGAACAAGGAAGATTGGCAAGCCGGTGTCTCTGAGGGGGCACAATGGCACTGGTCCTGGATATTTTTTAAAACTTCCAGCTAGGCATCAACGACCACTACCAAAATCTGCTGCCATTGCGGGGACAGAGAAGCGTGGCTAAGTTCATGCTGACAGCAAAGGTGAGAAACAGGAAGCCCTTGCCCTCCTCCTACCCACCTCCCTCCAGTACCTAGTGCTAGAGAAAGCTACAGGGAGCTAGGTGGAGAGCAGAGATGGGGTTCGCAGAGTCAGGGGCTCGGCAATTAGAAAGGCAGATTTGAAACAGAGAGAGTAGTAACCTGGATACAGCCTCCCACAAACAATTTCTTAGGCCACCTAGAAGGAGGCATAAGTTATCCAAAGCATTATAAAGGAAAATGAATTTTAAAGCTTATTGCTACGTGAGCCATGTTGATATGAACTGAGTCCAATTGTTTTATTTATAGTTGTATGTCAAATGACCTCAAAAAACAGAGCTTAAAACAAATATCATTTTATGGTTTCTAGGGTCAGGGGTCTGAGCATGTGATTCGTGTTTGGGTGAATATTTCTGGCTGAGGGTCTCATGGAGCTGGAGTTGTCTGATGGCTCGACTGGGGCTGGAGGACCTGCTTCCAACCTCACTGATGTAGCTCTTGGGAGGAGGCTTCAGCTGGTCGACAGGTGGGCCTCTCTGTAGACTTGCTCATGACCTGGCGGTGGCTGCTTTCTGCGTGAGTGTGGCACCAGCAGAGAGTGGGAGAGTGAAAACGAACCACCAGCGTCTCAAAACGTCATCTTGGAAACGGCCTACCATCAATTCCGCTGTCTTCTCTTGATCATACAGAACAACCCTGGAGCAGGTGGATCTCAGGGGGCCGTCTTGAGGGCTGGCCACTGCAGATGGCTGCGTGAAACTCTGTCTCCTCCACTGAGGTGGTTCCCAGAGTGAGGGATGGCTAGTGTGTTCCAGAATCCCAATTGGTTTCCTCCCCACTCTATCATGAAAAATATTGGGGAAGTAATCTTCAGTTCCCCTTCTTGGCTAGATCAGTTGTCTTTGGTTGACTACACTGACTGCTTTGGTTGGATAAGTAGTCAGTGTTAAAAGATGGGCATGTGGATTCTACAGTAGGTCCTGAAACAGGTCATTTCCCATTTCAAAATTTCCCGCTACCTGAGGAGAAAACATAGTTGGAAAATTCAGAGGATAATGGCGCTTTTGTCTTAGATGTCTTTAAATTGAAGTGATCATTTAAGCTGTTCGTAAAGCTTGTTGATGTGGCAGTGAAATGTAATTGATCTTTGATCAATCTTTGATTGCTGTGGCTGTAGTAACTGCTCAGGTAGGCACATTACTCTGTATCTGGAATGGGTGACCACTTTAAGCAAGGCATATAATTTTCCGTGGCCATGGGTTAAGATTTCAACATAGCTCACCTGTCAATCCTGTACTTCCTGTGTCTGCAGGAGAATGGTTCCATATCGGTGCTAAGAAAGAGATCATCCTTGTTGAAATTTGGGCAATAAACTACTCCGGTGGCTGTTTCATTCTTAATTGGTACAATGTGACCTGGGGCCCAGATCCTGTGACCAGACCAGACATAAATTTGGTTTGCCATTTTGGTTATCTGTGTAAGGGTGTTTACTGAGGAATTCCATAGGATGGGCAGATAATCGAATAGTGTTGTTCATATGAATGTGACCTGTTTCTGATCTTTTTTTCATGAGATGGAAAGGAATGCATTTGCCTACCGAATAGGTGTATCCCATATACCAAAGGTCAGATTAGCCTGCCCTGGCACTGAGAGCACATCTGGCACACCAGCTGCCGTTGGTACTGCTACTTGGTTAAATCTGCAGGAGTCGACAGTCATTCTTCAGGATCCATTCATTTCCTGCATGGGCCAGACTGATTATGAAACGAAGATATGACAGAGACCACCAACCCTGCATCTTTTAGGTCCATAGCGGTGGCACTAACCTCTGCTACCCCCCTGAAGAATGACATGATTTTCTAACTCGGGCGTGTGTGTAGGGGACAGTTTTAGAGGCTTTCCCCACAATGACGGTGACTACTCCACAGGCTGGGGACCCAATTACTCCAATTGCTAAGTATATCAAGTCCAATTATGCACTTGGGGGCTGGGGAAAGGACTCATGGGTGGCTGGAACCACTGTGACCTTCATAGGTCCCCACTCTAAAGGGGGGTTTGATGACACTTTAGGTGTCTGGGGATCAAAGTCAACTCAGACCTGTATCTAATTGTCCTCAAAATGTCTGGTTAATCCCCTTTGTCCAATACGCTCACCTGAGTAAATGGCCATCGGTCTTTGGGGCAAATTGTCATGGGATAGACTTGCCATAGTGTTTCGGGGTCCTTCTTTCTAGGGACCTGGCCACCTCTTTAGTCAACAGATTCTGGATCTGAAAATCTACTCGGGTCTGTGGACTGGAGCAAGGGACTGCGACCTTTCATTAAGACAACTGTCCTCAGCGTCCTCCTTCATACTTGTTTTTTTCTTTAATAAATGTTAACAAACATTGT